GAGACGTGCTTTGCATGTGTGAGGACACCCACAAGTGGGGTCACTTCTGCTATTGTGAGACCAATAAATAACAAACACTGAAAAAGTAGGAGGCTTAATTCCAAGGAAGTCTGGTTTAGGCATCAAAACACGAGAGGTGAAAGCAGTTAGAGAAGGCACCGCTGAAGAGTGAGTGCCAGGATTAAGACTTAACAATCCGCCAGACATCCCCTTGGTCCGGTGGAAACTAAATTTTGTTCCATGTATATACCATTCTGGGACATTCTTAGAGGAGGCACCATGATAGGTGCCTAGGCTACAGCTTATCCAGTGACCCCCAAGTCACAACAAACCTCCGTGGAGGTGAGCGAGGCTCCTTAGAATCACTCCAGGCCCGAAGGTGGGTGGTCTAAGCATCCAGGTGTCTACATGCAGCTGAGTGTCTTCGTTTTCAATCCTTCACAACAAGGTCCTTGCTCTAGGGGACTCACTCACACATGATGCCAGCCTCCCCTCATCCTCCACCAATTCCAAAGGAAAAAAAATAAACAAACAGCCTCACGCTCCAACAGGATTAAAGCATCTTTCAAAGCCAAGGATTCTGCAGAGTTACTGCATCTAGCTCAGTGTTTTCTCAAGACTCCCAAATTAAACCTGAAGCTCTCCCCAAACCCTTCCTTCAAGGGTGACCCCAAGGCACCCGAGTTGTCCTAGTCACAGCCTCCTCTGGCCTGCTTTACAAAACACTACGCTTTCCACTGCTGCAGTAACTTCTCACTTACTGAAGGGCTCTTTATAAGCATAGTTCAAATTAGTATTAATTCCAATATTTTTATTTAAAAGCCATTCACTTAAAGTCAAAATGACATCTTAATGCCATTTCAGCACAGCAATTAGCCCAGAATAAGAAGAGAGCTTCATTTTTGGAAAGACTTACTGCTAGATTTCAGACTTTTTTTTTTTTTTTAAATTAAAATACATGGATTGTCTTCACAAACTCTTCCTGAATATTTCATGTGTTTTGTGCTTTATTTGCTGTACATATCTTCACAGTGTGCATATTATTCAAATATTCCTAACAGATGGTCTCAAGTGCTACATATTATATAGCATTAAGTGAATAGCTTGGTAAACAAATGAGTCAAGGATTAAAATATTTTACAGCTTATAAATCATGAAAGATGTTCAATAACAGCACATTAATAAAAAAAAAAAACCCTTTAAACGTAAACATAAAAACATTAAATGCCGCTATTGCATCAGTCAACGGCTTGTGACAAATGAATTCTTTCTTAAACGAAGTGCTCATCCCATACGGTCTCAGAGATTGTGACCTAAATTAATTTGAGGTTGACAACTAGTCTACCAGGAAGCCTGCCCTACTGTAGTCTTTTCCATCCAACTCCAGGGGCTTTCTCTGCCATTTTCATCTTCATTAATGCTCCTTTGTAAATAGAAAAGAAAAGGAAATTCGTAAGCCAAATTCGTTACTCTTTAGACTGCCTTTAGCAAAATTTTGCTGAAAGAGGTTGAAACTACAGATGCAAATTGAGGATTCTAAATCAGCTGTGATTTTAATGATCTGTTCTCTTTCCATGACCAGCTAACGTTGGATGTAGATGTTTCTATTGGGAGTTTGCATGATGATTAAAACAAACAAAAATTAAAAGAACCCCAAACCCAACAACTTTGGGTGGTGTTCAGATGGCTTCGAATCCATTTTATATTGTCCGTGTTCCAGCCATGACTCCACTGAGGAATAAAAACCAACAAAATGCTCTCCTGTTGGATGTTTTCTCTCATGCCACCCTTATTTGGAATTACATTACTTAACCGGACGTGTAATGGCCTTTTCCTAATCATTTGGTGTTTCTAATATTTGATGTCATCTAACAAGACTTAAATTTCATTCTAGAACTCGACCCAGTTTTGATTGTGAGAAGAATGTAAGCTTTTTAATGAACTATTTGACAAAATGATTCTAACTAGCAAAGTTACAAAGCGCCTGTTAAGTAAAACCTCTCACCTAAAGTCACAAGTTGGCTTCATTTGTTATATTAAGGTTCATTACCCAATTTCACACATATATTCAAAACTTTATTCTCCCACGTTCCATATGTGGCTACACTCTCTATTTCCTCTTCTACAGCAATATCTGTTACCTCGGGTACAGGCCTCTGTGAGGCTGAGAAAGACGCCCTCCTTAACCAAACGTGGCACGGTCGAGTCAGGACAAAATGAAGACATTCTGGAAGTTTTACATTAAGGCCCCTGCTCGTTTTCGCCTTCTCGATCAAGTACCAGATCTTACCGCACAAGCAAAGTATACCATATCAATGAATCGACAGTTACTTATTTATCTGCTCTGCATAATGTACTGTGCATGTCTTATGAACAAACATTCTACCTATGTGAAATTTCATCATGGAGATTAAGTTTCTCTAAAACACAAATATTCATCGAAACAACTATAAAACAAAACAGGTTCATAAATAAATTCAAGACTGGTAAGGAATGTTACGTGAAGTCAAAAAAAGGATTCTCTAAACTACATTAAGTTAAGACAAAAAAGGTGGGGGGGTCTCTATTTCAATGATTCTCCAATTTATATATGCATTTAAAACACCTGGAGGGCTGGTTAAACAGGCTCTCTGGGGCCCACCTTGAGTTTCTAATTCATTAGGTCTGGACTAAGGCCTGAGCATCTGCATTCTAACAAGTTCCCAGCAATGCTGACGCTGTTGCTGCTCTGTCCCAACACCTGGAGAACCAGTGATCTAAACCACCCCCTGCCCTGATCTGTGGAGTCACGAAGCGTGTAGAATTTTAAATGGCTGATGTGCAAAATCAAACTATGGAATCAACAGCCACTATATTTTAATAGAAATATTTAGGGTATTTTATACCCTAAAAAAAAAAAATCATATAAAAACACACTGACTTTATATTACTGGAAACTGTCATACATCGCATGTGATTTGGGACACTAATGATTTTTGTGTGATTTTAACCAAAAGGCAAGACCGTCAAAAATATTTAAAAATCTTAATTACCACACAAAAAGATACGTAATAGATCCTGGTGATAACACTATAAAATGCTCTAAACACTACAGCAGCGGCCTTCAGATGTGACCACATGTGATTAGTGTCCCCAATCACATGTGGTGTATGACAATATCCTCCCCTGCCCCCACCCCAAGAAAGTCTTGAGCTGTGGTTCTGTTTTACACATCACACACATCCCATATGCCCCTTGGCCAACCCAGTTTTTGAATACAAACGGTATCATTTGTGGGGGGAAGTAAACACCAACCATATCCTGAATTGTCCTTACCATGACAAAGAGAAGGAAGAGGATGAAAGATGGTACATCGGAAAGTGACTCACTAAAGAAGAGATTGTGAACCAGTGGCCCTCAGTATTTTTTGTTTAGAAAGAAATGAATTAGGTGCTAACATTTGGAAATCATATTTCACACAAATATCTATATTTTCAGTTTCATATTTCACATAAATATCTATATTTTCAGTTCACGTTTAGCAACCCTGGACTTGCTTTCATTTCCGCATGGCCACGATGAGCTGGAGCTGAACAGCTGTCGTCCACTTTTACGGGAGGAGAAGGGGCTCTCCAGATTGCCACTGTCCCCAGTAATCCCTACTCTCCCACACCTGGCCTGCCTTATTGTTATCCACCGCACGTACCTGGCTCTGTAAACATTCGAGCGTGCAATCCCTGCACTAACGTTTTCACACAAATAAGAAAGGTTACTAGGAACTGCAAATAACCTCTAGTCTCAGTCTCATATACTTTTATGTCATTCATCAGAGCATAACAGAACATGAACGACATTATAATAGTGATAATCTGAGTTCTAATTTATTAAAAAAAATAAATCCTTTGCAAACTTTGGTACTAGTTTTGAAACAAACTGGGCCATAAATTAAAATCCTCTGATAGAGAAATTTGCTTTTGTGCTTCCCAGCATAAATTCTGACTTTTGAGCATACCTAACAAATGATGAAATCATCGAAAATTTCAGAATCAAATTTTAGAGCATGAGCAGTATAAGGAGTATAAAAATAGAATCAAGCATTTTTAGTTCATGTAATTACAGGTATGTAAAAATGGTGCTTGTAAGTATTAACTGTCAATCAAAAAAATTGTAAAAGTATGATATTTGTGTTATCATGTAAAATTATTTGGGAAAAAATGAAGAATTCTGGGCGTCCAGGTCACAGACCCATTACTTTGAAAACCTGAACAGAAACATTTCTGAGATAGGTACTGCATTAAAACAAAATCTATCTGAAAAATGGCCCCTTTAATAGAATAACAACTCTCTGCTCCCAAATTACCCCAAATATCTTTGTCTCAGTAGACAAGGAAAAATAAACGTGTGTGCTGGGGATAGGCTGGAAGGAGAACGATACAGAGATGCACTGCAGGAGGTGAAGGGATAGGCTAAATGCCGCCCCCCGGCCCCCAAATTGAGAGCAATGAGAGACGAGGATGGTGTTCTGGCCTGCAGAGAAATCCCATGTCCCAAATGTGTATGATCAATGCCTAGGAGGACAATGTATGGATCACATCTCACAATCTAGAATACAACTGCCTAATACACTGCCATAAACAAACACACACATACACACCCCACCCCCCATCCTGGGTCCTCAGATTCCTGTTTCCCTCGGATAGACAGGTGTGTACTTGAACGCTATGTTGAGAAAACACTGGACACAGACAGCCCTTAGCCTAATGTAAGTACTCGAATGTTATTTTCGACCAAACCACAGCTCCACATTTGCTGAAGAATGTCCACTCTAAGGTACTTAGAAACTCTCCTCTAAATGAATTTTCTGAACGATTTCATTGTGAAATGGGTTTGTAGGTCTTACAGAATACTTGCTGCAATACACCAAACAGGAGGCACCCTAAGTATTTTTAAAAGGCAGGGACTCGTGTACAAATGCGTATGCCGCGCTGTTTCATCTGCAATAAGAAATTACGACAATTGAATTAAGATTAAACACTTTAATCAACTATAATAAATCATATATTGTATAAAAATTCTGATTCATGCATCAGATTACATAAATTATACAATTGTCACATTATGCAATGTTTACATACTTTTGAGTTTGTACCTGTAAAAATGTACACAAGTTAACAGAGCATTTTACTTAATAAGTACAATACTCTTCAGTTATAAATAATGTTGATATCTTTCAAATACCTGCTAAATATATATATTTCTAGATCTGCAGCATTTTTTGTACCTTAAAATACAAACCACCTGGAAGCTTCGAAGATTAATAGGCCCAATACATCATTTGTTACAGACTTCAATTCCATAGTGAGTGGTTTTGACATAAGAAATAAATGAAATAAAATGTCAACTCTAGTTTAATGCTTGAAGAGCTTCCACACTACTTATTAAATACATCAGAAAACCCTTCATATGCAGATTAATGAGTTAAGGTGCTACCTATTGCATATTAAATACTTCCAATAATTGCACCTGGATTATTAAAGTTACAAATCTGTGAAAACGGGGGCTTTCCAATGTGTGCTGACAGACCCTTGCATCTACCATCTTGAACCAGCAGCACCGTGATCCTTTTCCTCGTACTTCAAAGAGATCAAGTGAATAAGCATGCTTTACACGTCACTTACACACACGCACACAAGTGACCATTTCTATAAGACACATGAGTACATGGACATCAAAAACTTTCAGCTTGACTTACAAATCCAAGGTAGGTTGCTTTTCCTAAAAAGCTACAGAGGGAAATAAAAGCTCTAGTGTAACAATTACTAGACATATTAAAGAGAGTACTTTACCCCCCGCCCCCACCCCGGAGTCTCCTTACTAAAGAATAAGCAGCCTTATGGGGGTGGTAGGCAGGGGGGCTGTGAGGGCGGAGGAGTTGGTGATGGAAGGATGTGGGGGAAGCAAGTCTGTCACTAATGAGCTGAGTTTTACTTAGGTTTCCATTCATGAAACGCTTTTAAATACAAGGCAACATTTTCACAGCTGGAAAATTACAACTAAATCTTCATTTACTGCCAAAAGCAATAGATACAGTTATGTATAATCTATGGATAATACCACATTTGTGGGAGAATGGCAAAACGAGGCTCAACGCAGCATGTAGCAGCCAAAAGCAATACTTAAACATTTTTCATGAATGGGTGACACGTCATTTTATATACAATTCTAAGATAGGACCCTGGTATTCAATAAATGAAACGACACAGAAGTGGGAGGACAGTACTTTCAGTAGTTTCAACACTGAATTTTAAAACTGGGAGGGAAACTGATTATAAAATATACGATTTTAAAAATAATAGAATTTAATTACATAACAGAAGTATGTTAAGATAGGTTTGAGATAAATAACAATGCTGCAATTTTAAAAAATCCTCGTTGGTGGAAACAGTTTTCAGCATGTATCTGTAAAGCATAAAAGTAAAATCTGTTTATAAGTCTATAGTGCTGCGCGTTATTTAATGAGTACATATATTTTATCTCCATTTCTAAGCTACTAACGAAATATACTGATAGAATATGTTGAAAAGTTACATTTTGGAAAAACAAACTTAAGGTGATCTTTTTTTGGCCTTCCTTCCACGATGCTAGAAAATAAAACCACTCTGTTTGTACTTCTGCCCACACCGGAAACACTGATATGTTCACTTGGGAACTCATTTTTACTTTTTGTCTTTAGTTTATTATACTGACCGATTAAGAAGATATACGTTTTGCTCTGGGTCATGAGTAAAAATTCATAAACGACGGAACAGAACATTTTCAGGCAGTGATAAATGCAAATTGAGTTTTTGATAGCATTCTTGTCTCAGATTTGAAGATAAAACTATTAATTCGGTTATAACCAAATCAATCACGTATGGATAAGTCTAATTCTTGACAGTTTTTATACAAGAAAAGAATTTCTCCTTAAAAATGAATTTCTTCATAAAAATGAATTTCTTTATAAAAAGAATAGCAGTACTCGAGCCATACTTTTTAATGAGCTCTAGTCTCATGAAACATGTCCTCAATACAGAACGAACATCTTGGTTCATTCTATAAAGAGCAAATTTGGCCAAAGCAGATTAAAATATCTGCAGATAATCTGTTATAGTACTAAAAACACATGGATTTGGGTATTTTTAAAAATGTAAGAAGAGCTTCAACTATACTAACAGAAAAAAACAAATGCTAAGAATTTTGTAATATTTAACAAATGTTAATTAAAAATGACACCACGTTAAAAGATAATAATTACTAAGACCTCAAATGAGAAAATAAAACTCGAGATCAGATTTGGAGGTTAATTACAGAAATATATAAGTGAAGGAAAAAGTCGGTAACAGCTGTTTTGCCTTCTCCATGTCTTCATTTCAGAAATTATTTAATTTTTGGATTTGAGGAAAATTTTCATAATTTCAAAATGTATGTTCTTAGAGGAAAACTCAAGAAACTCAGAAAATACAAGGGATTTTAATTTCTGGATTGAATATAAGCTTGGCCAAGTAGTAACTGATTCCAAATAACTAAAGTGAGCAAAACTGTTATATCTGCTTTTTTATTTAATTTCCAATGGAGTCTTAACAGAGTCAAATATTAGACAAAAATGCAGTTCATTAAAAGATGGGGGATTATATGACTCCGTATAAGGTATATTTTTCATTAAATTCAGAAGACACAGATTTAGTGTTCTATATTAAGTATTTTAGAAATTTGTAAGGTAAAAAATAGCAGTAGATGATCAGTAATATTTTTATAACCATTGTTTCACATTTTAAATTTCAGACTAATTTTGCACAGATATACAAAGATAATTCACAGAAGTAATCAACATTTTTGGGAAGCAGACTTACAAAAAAAGCCGTCCTAATTTTGTGATAATTCAATTCTTAAAGGATAGATGTAGAATAGTATACCATGTCATGCTAGTAAAGATCTGTTCTAAAAATTCACTCCTCCTTTAGTAACTGTTATGTTGGTTCAAGACCCAAATGCAACCATCTGCTCTATTATTTATGTAACTTGAAACCAAGCCTAATTCTTTATTCCTAGAATTTGCTCACTGCTTTGGGTTATGAGGCATCAGACGCTCACCTACACCCCACCCCCCCAAACAAAATCTTCAGATTGAACTTAGTATTTTCTTTGCTAGTGATTTAAAGGCATTCAGAATCTCAACAAATTATATTAGCTTATCTTCTGCTTATAGCTTAAACAAAACTCAAATGTGAAGATAAAAAATGAATTCAAGAAATCCATGCTGTTGTGAAATTAATGAAGTTTCCTAAAATATGTCATTCTCTAAAAAATGACTCTGGAGCATTACTTTTGGAAAAAGAGAAAAAAATTAATGCTGGAATAATATAGAGTAGCAGCTTATTCTGAAACTAAGGTTCATATAGTCAAGAGTGATTTGAAGCAGCTTTTCCATAACGAACCATAATACTGTAGTAGCAATGACGATTTGTTTTGCATCAATAGAGCACACATTTTCAAATTAAGAAATTGGCATCCTAATTTTAGAAGCAACCGGTTGTTTTTAAATGTTCTAAAAACATGTATATATGAGGTATACGCATGTATTTTATATACAGATACATGAACATATATCCATGTATGTAGATCCGTATATAAAACATGAACTTTTTTTAAAGTAGTGTTTATAATGAGCAGTATTCCTGCAGTTACATATGTGTACAAACTGAATGCTGAGAAACCAACCACGGAATCAATTCTGCTTATGAGAAATCTATTCCTGAGGAGTAAGTGACATACTTCTGAAGACACTTCTAAGGCCCAGAGCATGTCAGTGGACTGGCTCCAGCACCTAAGTGAATCCTAAGCAACTGCTTCTTTATGGAGAATCTGGCCCATTTTCACTTTAAAAGTTTAAGTTATTCAGCTCACTTCAAAGGTCACTCTTGACAGTCCCTGCCAATAGTCACAGGTAAAACAATTTTTGACCATGGAGTATATAAAGAAATCTGAAAGAGCAGTCTCTTTTTAGTAACAACTTTTTCTTCTTTCTGTCTCTCTTTCTTCCTTTCTTTTTTCCCCCCCATCAGAAATGCAGTGCAGTTGGCTTATTAACTGTTGGAGAACTTGCCAGCTTTCCTGGACGGTTCGTATGGCACTCTGAGGATACTGGGCGTTTCTTCCATGACCCTTACGAGCAGGTTGTCGATGTAGTCCTCCAGTTCCCGGATGTGGGTGTCTTTTCTCCTGAGCAGCTCTTTGTGCTTCACTAGCTCCTGCAGCACCTCCTCATAGGTCAGACTACGATAGCCTGCGGTGGCATCAAAAGGGTTGCTGTCCTAGAACAGGATAAAGCCTGTCACTTCAGTAGATAGGAAATCAGGGACAAAGTCAGAATTATTTTGAACTTCAATGTTCGGTTTTTCAAACCCTGATCAAGATTTTCTGTCCTTGGCTGGCACCAACCTGACAGTGCATAGCATGGCTAGTCAGTTCTGAGACAAGCACTAGGTCAGAAGCACCAAGGCCCTGATGATAATTCTAGATTCTTCCACAATCCTTTTTTACATGGTGGAAAACATCCTAATATAAAATTGACCTATAATTTAAGAGATAAAATGTACTATAATAAATATAAACAGATAAAAATGAAAGATTATTGGACAAACTCTAAGAAGCTGTTCAAAACTATACATTTAGACATTAGTCCTCTCAGAATTGCTTCCATTGAACTGCAGTTTAACTTTGTGCCTTGCCTTTTTACTGGAGACAGTTACAAGAAGCGGCAATATCGAATCTGCTTCTCGCTGTGAAATGATGAAGCCATTCAGAATTAAATCCATGAGTCCTTATAAGAAGCCCCATGGGAGCAACTTCTGTTTTAATTTAGAGGAGACAGGGCTTTTTCTCCCCTGAGTAACTAGCTTATTTCCTTCTCATAGTACTAAAACATATGTATCTTATTTCTCTTTTTGCCTTGGTTATCAGGAAACTCAGAGTTCAACTGTGATCATGTTACTATTTAAAATTGGTAGATCTACATTCTCTTCCATTTCACTTTTTATTTCTTTTGTTAACCTTGTTCTAGTGATTAAAATTCTTTCTATACAAATATATAAATTTTAAAAAGGCCTTCATTTAATTCATTTTTATTACAAAGCATTCTAATGTAAAAAAATATTTCACAGGAATTTAATCAAAAAGGCACTATAATGTCATCTATTTATAGTGTATAGTAATTAGATTTTCGTTCTGTAGAATATAATGCCCAAATATAAAGGAGCATTTTTATGCCTTTTTATACATAGTTCTTTCACTAACCTCAACAAGTTAAAATGGTTTTCACCATTTTCTTTCAAAACGTGTCCATTTGGCTTTGAAGAAAATAAAACAAAAATATCGAGGCAATTGGTCTTGCTCTTTCAGACTAAGTATCAAATCTATTCGGTGGAGGGTTGAGCACGGGGATTAAGGAATGCAGAAAGCCCCCCCTTTTATTTCCATAGGAATTTGTCTTTACTCATTTTCAGGATCTTCTTTAATTTGCTATATGTCTAGAATTTTGCACTGGTAAAGCCAAAGTGTAACTTTTTACCCCCTCGTCCTCTAGGCACCAAGACTCTGTTTGCCAGCACCAGAAAAATCGAGCTAGAGTACAGACATCAAACTGATGCTTAGGTTACTGAAGCATACTTCCTTCTCCAGGATAAAGGGGAGAATTCAAGATAGAAAAACCTAATTCCATAGAATCACCCACGTTTTGTGGAGAAGATGATATAGTTTGCACTGGGCCTTCAAAGGTAAAACTTGCACTAGGCAGAAATTCGTAACGGGCATCTCAAGCAGTGGGCTCTGCTTGTTCGAAGAGGGAAACGAGGTTCCAGGCCCAGCGGCCAAACAGGTAATCAGTGGAGCCCGGCTGCAAAAGAAGGGTCAGGATGGGAAGCAGAGAGAGGCCGAAATGGTAGGTTCCAAACAGGCCATCAAGGATGCCGAATGCTTTTAGACTACCGAGGACTTTTAGACTCATTGCTGTGGAAAATAGGAAGTCATTGAAGGTTTCTAAAAGAAGATATGATTAAAGCTAAGTTCTAGGAAAATTAAAATGGCAGCAGTGGGTAAAATCACTTGGAAGGGCTGAGATTAGTTATAAAGCTACTCAAATATTAAAGATGAGGGCTAATAAGACCCTCCACTAGATTAACAGAATGAGTAAGAGAATGCTAAAGGGAATTTAAATTCTGTAAGACATTTAAACCAACTTACTTCATTTTAGCATTAGAAAATGGGACAGATAAAACTTTATTACCTTTGTTCTAAATATATTTCAGAATATTGCTCTGTAACAATTAAAGTACAATTCTGGAGACCAGTGTTGATTTACTTTTTATTCTCTTTTCTCTCAGATCATTATCTTTTTTAAGATTAAGTCTGAACACACACTCTCTCTCTCATGTATTTACTAGTTTATTTAATTGGTCATGAGTAGTTTAAAGATATAAAACTTATAATTTCCTAAACATTCTTATTAAACAATTATATAAAGCAGATTTCTATAGAAAAGGTAATACTATAGAGGTAAGTGTGTGTGTGTGTGTGTGTGTGTGTGTGTGTATATTTTTTTTTAATTTATTAAAAAAAACTCTAAAGTTTCTTATTTTAACCTAAGTAGTTCAGTACAGAGTTGAGACAGAAATCAACCTAGGTCTTACTTTACTTATCTGATAAATGAGATGTTCGCCAAGGTCCCTTTTAACTTTAAAATTTCCTGGTCTGCAAAGTGATTTTTCTGAACTGCATTTTAAAATAGCAGTAATGTCCAACTACTGTGATTTCCTTTTTCTAATAAAATATTTACAAAAAAAAAATAGGGATTCTTGGGAGAATTGCAGAGATTTAATGAAATTAAACTAAATGAGATTCATTACTGATTGGTTGACTTGGTTTTTTTCCTCACTTTAACATAATAGCATCAACTTTGAGTCTCTCTAATCTTAATCAAATTACATGTATAAACTGATTTCTCCAAACTGATTAAGTGATAATATAAACTTATATTGTTATATTTAGTACTACACCAGTACTACCAGATAATGTAGTTAAAAATATTTTTAACATTTTTCTAAAGACAACAAGGATAGTCATGTCAAAAAATTCTTATTTTGACATAAATAGGTTAAATTAATTAAATGACATAAATTGATCTAACAATTTAATCTGTAAAGAATCAATTATTACCCTGGAATATTGTTCAATACTTTATAGCCATTTTTAGAATGTACAGATCTATTATTTGACTTACCTTTTCCCCCTGCGACCACCTAATACTTATGTATAGACAGAGTTTCTGAAAATACATTTCTGACCTTTTCAATAAATTTTCCGCTTGTCCTTTTATGTGAAAATTTTACCCTAAATTTCTGCATCAAGTTTCTAGGCAGGAAAACATCTTAGAAACACATGTACTATAAACTATATTCTGAAAAGAAAATAATTAAAAACAGTTTTATGCCTAGTTCCAGATTTTATCCCATATTTGAAAATCATGTAAACTTTTTAATTTTAGGCATAAGATTCTTAAATCTTATACTCAATAAATAAGTATATACATGTTCTTCTGTTCGTTAATATAATTCCAAGTAAAATAATAAAGATTGATATTAATATATACGACAAAAAATTAAAATATTTTCTGGTAACAAAAATTATTTTGCTTAAAGAGGAAAACTCTCGGACAAATATAAAAATTAATTATTTTTTCAACACATACTTTTAATGCTATTCTTGGAAAAATTTCTAAACCTGAGAAATGTCCAAACTGGTAAAGACTCGAATAACCTAGAGTGGGATTCCTAAGTACTCAGTATGTTTCCCTCCAGCACTCCATATAGATGGCACATATGTTTTTAAGATGTCTTCTTATATTGAAATGTAATGTAAATTTTTTTCTCTCTTCCCCTTCCACAATCAATTCTTTTTCATTCCTACCCAACCTCTGTCAAAAATCTCCATATGCAGATACAAGAAAATTGGGGTTGGGTGAGAGAATAACAGAGTTAGTACGTGAAGTTTTCTAATCAGAATTTTAAATAACATAGTTGTGCAAAAGGCTGAGAATTATTAGTGATTTATTACAATTAGATTTAGATTTTACACGCAGCCTAGCCTTTTAAAAAGGAAATGTGTGTGTATATATATATATACACACATATATATATATATATTTTACAATATTTAAATTTAGACAAAAGCAAATTATCAGGACTCAAAATAACTGAAGATTTAAAGAAAGGTTGTCCTGGTAACCAAATATTGGTGGGGCAATAACTGACATCCAAGGCAACGAGAGGGGAGAGAGAGAGATAAGATGAAGACTTGGCATTCTCTGATCATCTCATTATTGTTCTAATGAGGAACTTTGCTCTGGGAATATCATCTCAGCTACTTTCACATCTTTTGTCCTACTCCCTTCATCTCCCTTTCAGTTCTTAATTAGGCCTTAAAGAGCTCACACTGCCCTTTCAACTGGCTACTGCTCCTGTTTAAACACTGCTTTCACAGACAGGTGTTGGCACTAGCATATAAGACATACAAACTTAATTACAAAATACTATGTCCAGAAGGGGAAAAAATAACTTGGTGGATGGCTATTATTGGAGAGCTTAATGTAAATTACTTCAAACATCTTATAATCTTCGCCATAAAAATTGTTCAAATACTTTTCCTCAAAAACGATCAGTATTGAGGATGAGCTTTCTCCTCTTAATTGTATCTTGCAGTAAATTAACGACACCTAGTAATCCCTAACTGTCACTTAGAATAGTTAGTATTCCAGAGAAAAATAATCACACATCAAGGATTCTTTTTATCACCTTTAAATCCTTTAACTAAAACAATTTTCACATTTTATTTCTTTAAAGAATTCTAAGGATGCTTTTACAGCAATAAATTACAAGATTTGGAAAAGTACATTTACAAGCTCATAGAAATTGTAATTAAGGTTACTTAATAAACAATAGCTGCACATTAAATCAGTTTTTTGATGTTGCATTTTGTTTGAGATTAAGTAACCGCCTGATAGAATTCATTTTACTATCTGATCAAAGGCTGACTTCATATATTCTGACATTTCTCGCCAGACTGCCGTATTATAGAGACGTGAGTATTTATAAACATAAAAACTTACAAATCATTTACATAAGACAGCAAAAACACAGTACAAAGTCCTCTGCCTCTATAACATTTTCTACAATTTTAAAGAAATAACTACATTTAGAATGGTTTACACTCTATCACGGTTTCTTCTAGGCATATCACATCATAGAAAATTGTGATATGTTATTGCTTTAAAAAATTCTTATTACACATCTGGATCACACACATTAAGGACAGATGGTTCAAACAGCAACCCAGCATCTCAAGAATAAAGGCTCTATTTCTGTTATTCAGGGAGAATTTAGTTTTCTACCATGAACATGTGCCCATATTTCTGTAAAGCAACTCATTCCCTAGGTTTAAAAATATTTTGAATTGACTGAAGATGCAATGAAACTCTAAACAGAGATCCAAAACTGGACTTCAAATAACAATAATATGAAGTTAAGATATCCAAACAACGCTTGCCAAATATGTGAGTTAATTCAGCTGGTCGTTACCAAGCCTGTTAATATACTGGGTTTTTGTTCTGACGAGGAAGGTAGGTGTCCTAAAGCTTCTTTCAAATACCTTCCTGGTTAATTAGATCTCTTGCCAGAATGCTCTCCCTATTGCTGAATATCAACACGCAGTTTTATACTTTCTTCAATCTTTGTCCCAACAACAAAAAACGTTAGTTTTCTCCACATGCTCTTATTTCATAGCTAAAATGTTGACTTTGACATACAGCTTTCATATTAATTTTAAACAGTCTGCAAACAAAATATGTAAATTCTAAGTCGGCTTCAATTACAATGTTTACCTGAACTTCCAAAGATCGTACAGAAGTCACACCCTACTATATATTAAAAACAAAGTTTGAATTTTGCTTTATTTCTTTCTCCCCAAATTATCACACTAATCTATAATCCGTAAGTAACTAAGGAATTTAAGGGAATGGAGGACTTTTTAGAAATGTGTGCCAGACAGAAGGCCTGCTTGTGGCTTGTTTTTTGATCATTCTTGAACTCCCTTTGTAACTTACCGGGATTTTCCTGAGGTCTTCATTGCTTGTCGGATTCATATGAAAACTGAGCAATAAAAGACAAACGTAAATGTTAAAAGTGTATGGTAGCCCAAGTGGGAGGAAACATAAAAACAGGACATTTTTAACCAACATTTCAATAACAATTTCAAAAGTCCTAAATCACTCGAATGAAATTTAATCCAGAATGTAGAAGAAAACCAGTATTTACTCAACATTCTAAAGCATTGACAATTTTCAACTTTGGAGGAAAACTCTTTAGTTTTTATCAGAACTGAAGAACTGTACTTCTAAAATACGTAGTTTCTAAACATTTTAAACATAAGCATTTTACACAGCAAGATATTTTATAAAACTAAATTTTATAACATATTATTCATTTTATATACAAACACTCACCTTACGCCTTCTGATATAAAACTATGGAGGATTAAATAAATTTAGGTTGGAAAGATGGTAGAATAAAAGAGTTAAAGCAATCTTTTAAAAAAAATTCTACAAGTATTAGAAAAATTATCTTTAAACATTATCCTATCATTGAGAATAAATTCAGAATTGTATGAACCATTTCTGCCATTAATGTGATTTCTAAGTAGCTGGCCTTCAAAATTTAAATACCAAATGGACCAAAACAAAATGGTTATCTTCCATGTAGAGAGTAAGAAAACAAAACAGCTGAATGCTATAATCGTTTTCTTCTTTGAAACTTGTCCATTAGGAAGGGGACTGCAACCCAAAAGAAGCTAAACTTCAAAGCCAACTGATGAGTAAATATTTCATCGCTGCTATTCAAGTTTAATTTTACCCAGCACTTAAGAGTATTAGCCATTATAACTTCTACAAAACATTACTGTCCTAGGAACCTTTTTATTCCTCCCCCCAAGACTTAACTGTAAAATATATATTTTACAGTATCTCTGCTTTATCAGCCAAATGTTGGAATCCTTTGAAGAAATTCACTTTTTAAACTTTTGATTGTGTACATGAAAAGTCTGTACACTAGATATAATATCTGAAAAATATCTATTATTATAGGTACACATTCCAGGCTGTAAATCTAAAGAGCATACATGCATGTACAACAACCTCAAAAGAATTTCTCACATGTCGAAGGTTTCGATTGTTATGACTAAGATTGGTAGTACTGGCTTCCAGAACTGGTGGTTGACCTCTTCTGGCTAGAACTCCTGAGAATTAATTTAGTATTTCAGTAGAGCTGGGTGACATGGTAGAAAAGACTGAAACGTTTTAAATACCTACCATGCACCATTCACAGGCCGAGGCAGCTGACACACTTTCTCATTTCCTGTATCTCACCGTCTTTATGGTGTTCTGTGTGGTCCCAGACTACTGTCACTATACTAGCAACGTTTCAAGAGCACGACAAAAGAGTGACTTAAAAGAAAACAACAACAAAAAAATCCTAAAAGACATTATCATATAGTAAACCTAGGCCTGGGTGCCATTGCAGCAGCCACTAACGCATGTGGTTCCCACCCTCTCGGACTTTCAATCCAAGGTGGTCAACATCAGGGGTCAGCAGGACATTCTCTCCTGGCGCCATCGTCTCGCAGCTGTTTTCGGATAGGTCAAGAAACACATTCTGCTGCATCTCTCTCCAGCTGGCGGTGATAATCTCAAGGGCAAAATGACTGACATTCAGGTTTGACAGTACACCACGGTGCTTAGGGGCAGTGGGGTGCTTGAGGGCCCTGGAGCTGGAAGGTAGGAATTCAAATCCTGAATCTGCCCTATACTTGCCTTGTGACCTTGAACAAGTTACTTAACTTTCATGGTCCTTGGGTTCCCTCATCTGTAAAATGGGGATGGCAAGTGTCTACCACGTAAGACAACTGTGAAGGTTAAATACATTAACATGTAATAAAACACTTCGCACAGTGACTAGCACATAGAACATGTTCAATAAATTATTTAATGATCATTTACATAGCACTTAGACTATGCCACATACAGTTCTAAGCCCTGTACCCAAATTCATTCATTTCGTATTTATAAACCTTAAAATAGGTACGATGTTCATTTTCAAAATAAGAAAACGAGAGCCACTGAGAGGTGGGGTAACTTGCGTTGTGGCCCTATAGTTGGTCATGGTGGAGGTGTCTGCCACTAGAATCTGTCCTGTGACACATGGCCCTAGCCCTGGTCTCTGCACACGGAGCGTGGCTTGCACTATTGAAGCCCTGAACGCACAGGACACATGGAGCAATCAGAAAGTGCACATCACCGCAGGCTGAGCAAGCACACAGTCCGGCTACGCTTGGGGGAGCAGGGGGACAGCACTCGTGAGAGTTAAATTTTCAGACCACGTGGAGGAAAGATATGCTCTATCACAGCAATTAGCCAAGGCGGGCCTGACTCAAGGGAAAAGCAGGATCTTACATTACTGAAGGATGGGTCTGGCAGGCCAGAGAGAGGCCTCTGAAGACATACAGCCTGGCTTGGGGCTGCTACACAGCAGTGCCTTGGCAGGACACCGAAGAGACTGGACATAAGGCACCAGCGTGGGACAGGGCCATTGAAGGGTTTCGATGGGAAAGATGAGGCTCTCAGGCTGGGTGCATGGACCAAAGGGCAATTTTTTCACACTTTCTATCTTCTTTCATAAATGTTAAACATTCCATGTTTGTTAGCGTAATCTATCCCATTACATCCTTGAAGAATAAACAATATTCTGACTATAAATTTCATTATATGTCTCAAGAAGAAATGATTCAACTAAGAAATAGAAACATTGGTATCATAATCATTGTGATGAGAGTTTTTAAGAAACAGACATTGAAGATGAAGACTTTATCAAAATCATAAAACAATACATAAAATCCAATGACTTTAGCCCATGGATATAAGTGAAACTCAGTGAAACATGTTTGAGAATTCTTAAGCATGATTAGGTTGAAAAGGTCGCAACTCTAAGGGAAAAGGGTACAGGGCGCAGCAAGCCCCAGCTCTTTCCCATTATACCTGAATGTAATCTGAGTGTTCTGACACTCTCTCCAGCAGTCCCCGGTGCAGATCTGAGGACAGGGCTCTTGTATGGGGCATTGTCTAAAATCTAAAGGCAGAGCCCCTCCCTTGTGGTCCGCTTTATATTCACACACTGACCTGTCAAACACATGACAACTCAGTCATCCATGGCTGCCTTTTTTGATCTGTCCTTAAGAGGGAAAAAAGAGTTAACTGAACTGGACTGAATTAGCTTGGTGAAAAATAAAATGTCTCCATTTATCGAAGTGTGGCACCAATTTGTGATATCTTTCTCTTTGGACTGCTGTCCTCATGTCAGACAAGATACTGAATAATGCAGTCTGACTGCTCAGCTGAGCTGTTGACAGGTCAAGGAAAATGGTGCTTTTAATCAGGTAGAAAATGAACACAGACATGCTCACACTGAAGAAAGTTTATATAAATTTAAAATTTAGAATTAAAAAATTTTTATTTTAGAAATCAGAACTGATAAAGTCTGAGTGTGGTAGAGGATTTTAAAGTATCTTTTCAACTGATAAAAGTATTTTAAATTCATATTTTAAAAAGTTTTTAAACTAATAAAATGCTTTAACATTCTAAAGTTGTTAAGTGAAAGCTTACTTTTACCTTGTGATTGTAAATTTCCTAATTTAAAGAATTTTTCTAAGTAAACTCTAATTGTAAATTTAGATAACAGTACTCAAAATATTTTAAAGAATCGTTAGTATCTCTTCTATAATATTGCTTATTGGTTTATTTTGTAGAAGAAATATTGAGTAAATAAGTAAAGTGGTGAGAACTTGAAACTGTCCTTCAGTTTCTGCTATGGACTAGTCTTCTATAGATAGGTCAGAAAAGCAAACCAATCTTATAAAGCAATAAAAATGACCACTGCGGAAATCACTAAGGCATTTGGCAGTGATCAGAGTTTTTCCTTTGTCCTTCCTTTTCTCTTTTTAAAAACATAAATACATTCCTTTGAAACAAGAATACCTATGACAGGGAAGAGACTATTAAAGTGAAAAAGTATGTGCCTGTCACAAACAAAACAAAACAAAACAAAACCCACGGAAGAACAAAGATCTATTAAAACTGATTAACTGTCCTTTAGCATAAAACAATGCAAATTGTATAAATATCCGGCTCTAGGACTTTAAGTCTTTCAACGAGAAGTCACGTAACAACACTGGAAGCTCTCGAAGGCATTTAAAAACAAGTATTATTATGTCTTCCACAATATCGCTTTCTAAGCCCCATTAATGCTAAAATTATAAAGCTAAGTCCATTTTGGCCTACAACCTGATCCATTTTGCATTTAATAAGTGAATTCAAGTTATTTGAAAAATCCAGGCGCTGTCCCACCTGGCTGGAATGGGGGCCGGGACGGGGAGGAGTGGGTAGTAGAGGAGTAACTTTCTCAAGCACCATTCATTCCTCATTGTGCGCACATACACACGAAAGCATAACTTTAAACTATCACAGAAGAACTTCTGACATTAATTATGTTCAAAAGGGAGTAGCCTATTGATCTTCTTGTTTAACTGAGGGAGTGGGCTCTAGAGACCTGGGGCTTCATTTTGGTGACAAATGTAGTTGGCGGGGGGAGGAATATAAGAACTGTAAAACATAAAACCTTTAATGAGTCTGAAAAGAGGTAAAGAAAAATACTCAATACAGTGAACCAAGGGCAAAGAAAATGACACTAGGCCTAATAACGACTGATGTTTATCTTACTTTAACTGTGGTGCCAGGCGCCTTTCTGAGCGCTTTGCGTGTTAACTCACTCAATCCCTGTAACGATCCTATGAGGTGAGTGCTATTTTAACTTACATTTACAGAAGAAGAAACGGAGGCACAGAGAAGTTAAGCAGCTTACTCTAGGTAACACAGTTATTAAGTCGCAGAATGAGGATTCAAAGAAAGGCAACCAAACTCCACAGTCCAAGCGCATTAGCCATAAACTGTACTTCTTCCTCACACATAGGGGTTCTAATCTGTTCAGTTGTACTGTGAGCTCAGAGATGGTTGGTTTCAACGAGTCCAATACAATTTCCTAAGGAT